GATCCACCAAAAATGATATATGAGGAACTTTCTCATAATGAACTATTTGTATTACCTTAAGATGAGTGGTTAAATGGAAGACCATGGAATCTTGTAAGACATCAATGGGGAACTTGTCTTGAGAGAAGAATGGTATAGATGGTTGGATATAATTCAATATATCATTTGACCCAATTGTGATTGTGAACATTGCCTTCTTCAACACCTCTTTTGTACCATTTTCACCAATCATTCTTACCATATAATCTCTACTCTTCTCGAAATTACTCACTTGTTCTCTCAAAGGTACTCGTCCGATCTATTTTTCAAAAATATCAATTTACATAAATTCGTTAAATCTAATAAGATAGGAGTATTACTTAATCTCAGTCCACAAAAAAATTGTTATAATATCCAAAAATAGTATGCATTTTGCGGGTTTAAATTCGGGAGGTGACACAACGACTCCAATAACATAAATCGGTTTAGAATTCAATATTCTTAAAATGAAAATATCATGTATTCCAAAATTAGTAAGTAAAGGTTAAATACGAAATGGAGCTTACGAACAAAAGTCCAGTGTCGTCCAGGATTCCAGCCGAACCAGAAGCATAATTGATTCCATTGTGAATTGTGTTATCCTCACTGTTTGGTTCAAGATATGGAGGTGGTGCTGATTTTGCTCCTAAAGCTTCACCTGTTTTATTTTTATTTCAATAAAACTATACATTAGTATAATTTGTGGGACAATTAATCACAGAGTGGCATCATAATCTTAAACTTTCAAAGAGGCGACCAATTCAGAAGCGTGTTAATAAATTTTATATATAACTCCTTACCAAACTCTAATATGCATTTATGGAATTAGCCTTTTGACTTCTCCATATTACAAATTCTTTAATTTGTCGGTCCTACCCAATTCTGACTTTACATGCTCTAAGACAAGTCAACTTCTCAATCGTTACTTCAACTGTGTGTTGTAACTTGTAAGGGTCCTCCGGTTCTATTAAATCGGTGTAACTAACATTTTCATCTAATTATGTAGTAACCACTTTTTTAATATATTTTCTCCATTTCACAATAAATGTTGTTTTATAGTAATCTGTTGTTTTTAAAAGATTATCATTTTATGATGTCAATGTAGTTTTTATTACAAAACATCTAATATGTTCCTTCTTAACACTAATAAAAATGTAAAAGAACAAAAATGTATTTTGTAATGTGTTAAAAATATACTTATATTATAAAATATGGAATATTTTGATATAACAAATATTATTGATTGAATAAACAGACGTACCAACAATATCAGAAATGGTCCGACCATTAGTAAATCTTCCGGTGGGTTGGCCATTGGAAGGTCCAAAGTCGATGCCATAAGGAGAAGAATCAGCTTTCGACAATGTAAAGAGATAGTTATTGTTTCCAACATCTACCAATGAGTCTCCAAATATGAAATTTGCGAAAGATTGAGCAGCTTGAAAATGTGATTGCCAAAATAGAAGAAGAAAGGTGAAATTGAAATGCTTGAGAGAAGATCTATATGTGAGCTCCATATTTTTATTTTTTACTTTGCCGAATATTTGCCAATGGAAAGAGATGTAATGTTTGGTTAAATAAGTTAGGTTCATGAGTACATTAAAACTTTTGAACCATTCCTTTTGCTTACGTATGTTACATCACAGTAGGACTTGTTCAAAAGATAGCACATGGTTCTTCTACGTACACTATTACTTCGTTACGTTGGTCAAGTAACACAAAAATTAATTTCTCTTGAGTGTATATATATACTTGCATGTTTGGAATTTCGCATAGTAATTAAAGTTTTGGTATGTTGTGGGTAATTATGTAACTAATCTTAATAGTTTGTAATCAGTATTGTGAAATCTATACAACATGTTGTTCAAAAAACAAAAAAAAAATCTATACAACATGCTAAGCTGTCTTTTTTTAGATGGACTGGTATTCAAAGATAGTGATATATGAGAGGGCTCAAGTAGTATTGTACATGTGACACATCGACCACACTTCATATTTTCTTGTAGCTTTCTTGTTTTCTACCAACACTATAGAATTTCAAGTCCAACCTAAATAATTTTTTTTATACTTCTATATATTGTTCACTTTGTCTGATAAATTATTATATAGTACAATACTCATTTATGTCGAGGTTTAAACAAAATACAAGAAAATAGAATTTATAAATGCAAAGGGTTTTTGGGGATCAAATAAAATAACATTTTAAAAGATAATTATGTACCCTATTATTGTTTTGTTTTTTAAAACCACACCACAAATTTTTGTATTAGTATTTATATCCACTAAAATGATTAGATATAAAATACTTATATACTTTTTTATAAAAATTAAAAATAAGTATATATAATGCTAAAAGTATACAATTGTTTCAACACTTTAATTTATTTTTAGGCTTTTAGTATAGATAACAACGACGCAATAACAAAAATATATACTAGCTAATTACAGTTTCTTCAATACTCCCTCAAGTCAAAAATCTCTCAACCCATAATTTTTTTTTTTTGAAAATCAACCCATAAATTAATATAGTACATTCCAAATTATAAACATAATATGAACAACTATAATCATGAACATTAAATACTTAATTTAGGGTTTGCAAAGAAAAAGAAGGAAAATTATTCAACCTCCACCCAATCTCATCACTTTGGACAGCAAATTATGTTAAATGAAACAATAAATTCATATATCTGTCATCTGCTATAAACTACCCTCTCTCTGCCACACACAATATCAATTTATATAACACTCTCTCTCACATACTCTTCCTAAAAAAAATCAAATCAAAAACCACTTCTCCATCATTCACATTTCACCATCACACATCATGGCCATTGCGCGGTGGCTCAACCGCACTGTGGGCTTCTTTGTCTTCTTTTTCCTCGACATTTTCGATTTCTTGCTTTGTTATACTTACAAAACATTAGATTACTTCTACGAATCCGAATGGAAACCTTGTTATTGTTCTTCTCCACCAAAGGCTCAAGCCAAGACCGAGAAGATCATTGTGTCGGAACGAGGAGAGTACTCAAAGGTTGTGTCTATGACAAGAACAAAGATACATTTCGATGAGATCTCGGACACGCTTTACTCACGTGGTCCTTCGCTTCTAACTAGGCTCTCTAAGCTCGTGAAGTCCGTGAAATGCTTCGGTTTGATCATGAGACGCAATGTGGTTGAATCTTGTGATCATCATGATCATGAGTCTAAGAAGAAGATTTGTAATGGTAATAAAAAGAGATTAGTGACTTTGAATTCTACGGTCGTTGAGAAATCTCCGACTACACCAAGATGGTCGGATTGTCATTGCAGCTTTTGCAGTTCTTGGCTTTCTTCTTCCAAGAAAGATTCTCTCTTTGTCAAAGTTCAACAGCCCAAAGGTAAATTTAATTCCACTATTTCCAAATTCCTACATTTACTTTTATTCTATTTATATACACATTCAAAAAGTTGATTTTTTTTTGTTTACATTAAATTCTCGTCAGATGAAACTATAGGAGATAACTTAGGAAGCAAGTTGATGAAAGTTAGTTAGTTGTTATAAAAATAGTAACAAGAGCTTAAGAGAATACATTAAGTACAAAATCCACTTACAACATCGTCATTAAGCATATATTAATTTATACACTAAACATTTTCTTGTCTTGGGGAATATATTAAGGTAAAATAAATGGATATGTATATGTGCAGATAACAAGAAGGCTCGAGACAACGTTGTGTTTATACATGGTTTCTTATCATCATCTGCGTTCTGGACGGAGTCTCTCTTCCCAAACTTCTCTGATTCGGCTAAATCAAATTACAGGCTAATCGCGGTCGATCTTTTGGGCTACGGAAAAAGTCCCAAGCCAAACGACTCGTTATATACATTAAGAGAACATTTAGAGATGATCGAGAAATCGGTGATCTCTCGGTTCAAACTCAAAACGTTCCACATAGTAGCTCACTCCTTAGGCTGCGTTTTGGCTCTTGCACTCGCCGTTAAACATCCAGGAGCTATCAAATCCCTCACTCTATTGGCTCCTGTAAGTCAATAATACATTCCCTCTAGCAATTTGAAATGTACTTTAAATTTGGTTTTTTCTTCATTCTATTTAGTATCAAAATATATCTCTAATTTGAAAATTGGTAATAGAGATGTTTGGGGTTACTTGTTTGGAAAGTACACTAACCAAACCGAAGAATCATATGAATAAGTTTGGTATGAATTCGATTTCAATGCAAAATCTGTTTTCTCAACTTAATTTTGCTACTAGCTATGGATATTTTGGGCTTGTCTAGAAGTAACTAAATGAAGTTGTAATATATATTGCAGCCATATTACAAGGTTCCAAAGGGAGTACAAGCGGCACAATACGTTATGAGGAAAGTGGCTCCTAAGAACGTTTGGCCACCGATGCAGTTTGGTGCATCACTGATTAGCTGGTACGAGCACCTTGGCCGCACCGTTTGCCTTGTCCTCTGCAAAAATCATCACTTGGTTGAGTCCTTCACTCGTCTCCTTACCCTAAACAGGTATATACATATTTTAATATCATACAAAATCAAGCATGACCGTTTTTTATTACGCATAAGTGAAGTAGTCGAACATAGCTCGAACATCATAAGACACTTTTAATTTGCATATAACAAGCCTAAAATTTTGAAGAAAGACTATTTTACCACTTTAATATATAATTTTTTTGAATAAGGTCTATCTTTAAATGTTTTGGAACATGCGACTATTGTTTCGTTGTGCTTATGTTTTCATATTGTAATTGTAGTATACGAATCATTATAACGAAAAGAAAAAAAACAATTACATTTCAATTTGAATAGAGCATCGATCGATCGTCCGTAACATCCACGAATTTTTGTTTTTGTTCGAAAATTAGATAAGTACAGTTGATCCGAAATTGACGGTGCATGAGGTCCTGAGAACAACTAAAATGTCTAAAAGTCTAAATGTTTTAATGAACCAACCACTCGTCTTCTTCAATATGTATCTTAAACTTGACGTGTCGGAAATGCTATACAGATCTTTTAATAATACGATGTTGATTGGTTCACTTTAGTAATTTTTACATAAAAGTATGTGATACCATTTTAGGAATTGAATAGGCGAGAATGCAATCTAATAACTTTATGTAATACAAAGAAAAATAATGTCTTCAAACACCGAAAGGGACTTATATCGACCGTGTCTCCTCCATTATTTGACCGACCCCATTCAATTCCATTTTGGCAGTTTATATCATAACTTAATATGTATCATTTTCATTAGCTCTAGCCTCTTTGCCATATAAAGTGAGATACAAGGATAAAATCATTTTTCAATTTACAAAAACGAATACTTTTCAAATCCACATTTAGTTAGGGTCTTAGAAAGATATACAAAATTCAGATGGAATTCGAATATATACGGATTTGGTGTAGTTGTAGTTTTTGTTCATTTAAATCTTCTATAAGATTGTTTTGCATCACTATAACAAGAGTTTTTTCAAATATTTTTTTCCTCTCTTTTCCTTTTCTATGTAAACTTTAACTTTTACGACATTAAAAAAAAATTCAAAATACCATAAAACGAGTGTTAATTTAAAAAATACCATTATTTTAAAAGATATTCAAAATATATAAAACAAACTTAAATCTAGTATATGTTTTTTTTTTTGGGGTCAAAATCTAGTATATGTTTATAATTTATTTATGCTTATGTATGCAGGATGCGAACGTATTTGATAGAAGGATTTTTGTGTCACACACACAATGGGTCGTGGCACACATTACACAACATCATCTTCGGGTCAGGAGCCAAGCTCGAGTCGTATCTTGACCATGTCCGTGACCACGCCCACTGTGACGTCACCATCTTCCACGGTGGCAAGGACGAGGTCATCCCCGTCGAGTGTAGCTACAGTGTTCAGACCAAAGTGCCACGTGCCACTGTCCACGTCATCCCCGACAAAGACCACATAACCATTGTCGTCGGCCGACAAAAAGAATTTGCTCGAGAGCTTGAGCTCATTTGGCAAAGATCTTCTAAAACTAATTACATTATCAAGTGAATATATACATATATATGAGAAAATTGAACGAAATATAGAACGAAAGTATATCTTTTTTAAAGAAAAGCTGATTCTAACATGGCGTAAAACTAATTACATTCTAAAACTAACATGGCGTAAATCATTCTTCTGATCAAAGTAAAAATGTCAAGACTCTAATTTTTTTTTTCTTTTTAAAAAAGAAAAATTAGAGTGTGCTTAGCCTCTTGTAAAACCATGTAAAATGATTTGTATATTCTCTTATACAAAATTAAGAAAAGACCACCGGATGTCA